CACCCACCCAGCCACCCACCTGCACCAGCGCGTCCCCCAGGCCGTCCAGGGCCTTGCTGATCTCCCGCGGCTTCACATTGTAGTTCACATTCCTGGGGGGGTGGCATGATCAGCACATTGGGCCAGGATCAGGGAGGGGTGACAGGGGCGGATGATGGTTAGGGTGGCAACGGCGTGCTGAAGATCAGGATTTGTGGAAACATGACAAGCAGGGATCCAGCCAAGCAGTGATGGCTGGTGAGCTCTCGATGACATGTCGTGGGGGCAACATCGCACACCAACGGAGCCGTACGCTCAAACACATTTGAACGTCACGCTGCGGCCCCCATGCTCATCACCCCCTTCGGTGCGCCTGGCTGTGCCCGCTGCTCACCACCTCAGGAGCCGCAGGCTGCTGAGCCGCAGCCACACCGCCACCGCCGCCAGCGCGCGCGCCGCGCCCGCGTCCCCGGCGCCCGGCGCCAGCACCCTGCTCCTCACGAGGTCCCCCGCGATCTGGAAGCGGTGCATCAGGGACCGCTCCGCCTTGGACTCCGCCGCCGCTATCTCATCCACCACGTCCCCCGCCACGCCGCCCAGGAGGGCGGCGTCCCCCTCTGCCAGGTCGGCGGGCAGCAGCAGCGAGCGCAGGTCCCAGGACGCGTCCGCCGCCGCGGCGGCTGCTTCGGCGGCGGCATCCCACGCTGACGCCGCAGGGCCGCCCTCTAAGCCGGCCGCCGCCTCCCGCTCCGCAGCCTTGCCGGCGGCCTCGGCCGAGGGGCGCTCTGTGGCCGCCGCCGGCTTTGGGCTCTGAGCAGCGGCAGGCGCCGGTTGCTTCTCAACCGCGGCGGCAGCCGGCGGGGCGGCCGGGGCAGCCGGCGCCACTGGGCCGGCAGGGGCGGACGGCGGCGCGGGTGGGCCCGGCGCGGGCGGCAGCCCCGCGGCGCTCGCCGCGGCGTCCAGGCTGATGAGGAAGGACGCTGACGTGTCGCCGCTGCGCAGCCACTGGCCCTTGGACGTGCGCAGCTCAAACACGAGGCGGCCGCCAGACCTGAGGGGCGCATGCAGGGGTGTGTGAGCAGGGTTGACGGCGGCTGCGCCGCCGACAGCAGTGTCGGGCTTGCTGCGCCAAATCATTGCCATTGCGGACAATGGCCTGCCCGCCGTGAACCTAGTGTGCCGCTCTGGTGGCTGGTTACCTCCTCCCCCCAAAGAAATGCCACCCAGAGGCGCCCTACCCGAAGACGCCCTGCAAGGGCAGCCCCATTACGAGGTGGTAGTGCCCAGCCGCCAGATCACGCGACTGCCCGGCCTCGGAGTGCTCAAACGCAGTGGCCCAGCAGCGGCGGCCCACGTCCCACGACACCGGAGGGTCGGTCTGCCACCTGGCGGGGGGAAGGGGGGGAAGGTGGGCATGAGGCGTGCGGGACGAGGCGGACTGCTAGGTCTGACAAGAAAGAGGCTGACAGGCAGCGCAGCGGTAGCCGGGGAGATTGGCGGCTGAAGGGCGGGGCACGGCAGGTACACCGACGCCGCACCTGCGGCTGCTTGCCTGCAAGCGCCACGCGCAAAGCGTCGCGGTGCCCGAAGGACGCAAGCTGCACCTCCAACTGCCGGCGCCTCCAGCGAACACCACCCCCGAACTTGCTTTCTGTTGGGTTTCAGGCCTTCATTCTTTCACGCCCCGGCCCCCCATCCCCGCCCAGACACACAAAAGAGAAATGGCATGCGCGCACTGCGCTGCCGCGCCCGCGCTCTTCCATCTCACCCCTCACCCCATTGGCAGGTCCTCCGCCAGGTCAAACGACGCCACACCCGCCGCAGCCCTGCGGGACGCGGCACACCGCAATGCGCATCCAGGGCAGGGGCGGGGGCAGGATTGAGCCACGAGCTCGTGCGGACGCATGGCGGCGCGACTGGACTGGCATTGGTGGCGTTGCAACAGCAGGGAACTGCAGCTGCGAGGAGTTGCCCCCACTCTTGATGGTTGTGAGAGCGTCGTGGCAACAGCCCACCTACCCTCCCACCACCCT